CAAATCATGCTTAGAGTGCATGAAGGGCAATAAGCAAAGTGTAAATTGAGAAAAACGTTTGACCTGTGTCATTGCCAACAAAGGGTATATAACAAAGTATTGAGAAACTTTTGTTATTGACCAAATACTTATTTTCCACCATAATTTGCAAATAAATTCATTAAAAATCCTACAATGTGATTTTCCTGATTTTTTTCTCCTCATTTTGTCTGTCATAGTTGACGTGTAACTATGATGAAAATTACATGCCTCTCTCATCTTTTTAAGTGGGAGAACTTGCACAATTGGTGGCTGACTAAATACTTTTTTTCCCCACTGTATGTTAAGGGAGCCGTAGGAGACAACGTCTCAAACAATTTTTTAAATAGACGCCTAGGATCAAATATCACTGATTCTTTAAGGTGAGAAATTGATTATATTTGTGACTGACTAAAATATTACATTTAGAGGGGTAACAGGAACAATCTAAGGCGAAACAGCTATTACCTATGTCGTTGGACATCCAGTAACGATACCACGATAGTTTGACATGGGAAGAAATTGAGCTGATTTTGGGGTTCGATAATCCTTGTGAGAATTACAGACAATGAAGTCTAAATCAATTAAAAATACTCCTTGCAAACTCAGAGAACCTTGGGTGGTTTTCATCTTGTGAGAGATTTTATGTCATCTTATTCTGGAGTAGTCACAAGGAATTAGATTGAAACAAACGATTAATGGTTTGAGGGAGTACAGTGTAATTATCGTTGTCATGCTTGTTGCTGATTAAGAGTGAATGTTAACAACATGTATACTTTTTTCTTCCAGGAGAATGGGGTTTCATTATCTATTTTTCAGATGTTCTCATGTATGTGTTCTTGGGAAGAGCTGTTAGTTAAATTCGGCAGTTTATAAGGAGTAGGTCATAAATGGGAGCTATCAAATTAATTAAGGCCTGGCCATTTTTTATATATTTTTTTAACCATATGGTTTGCAATTACTCACACACACAACCCACTTATTATGAAATGTTAGTTGGATAGGTTTTTTTGTGGTTTTAGTTGGGGTTTTCACGGGTTAGAAATTATATATCTTAAAGGGCCACACACATGGAATTTTCTGAAGTTATTATTTTCTGAGTCTTAATTAAACACGTGATTTCTTTGGATAAGAACTGTACTGAGGACTTACTGTACACCTGGGATATGAAATGTATGAAATGTTTGACTGTTTTTGGTGATTGGACTACTATGGTATGAAACACTTCTTTGAAGGGTTTGATTGACCTCAGACCTCTGTCCTGACCTTCTAGTGTGGTTTGATCACCCTCACTGGAAAGCCGAGAGACATTGGCTGATGAATTTAAGGTCATTTATAATACGAATGTGAAGGTCATTTATAATAATTGTAATTATGTAGAAGTTTATAGTTCCATTTTCTTATGATTGTATGGATACAAGTTTTTTCTTTATGGAGTTATTAAGGGTATTGATTCTTATTCAATTTGTTTTTTAAACCAGTAGTAGTATTGTTTTTTGTTTTTTATCCTGTACTCACATTATGAGTCATGGGTCCAAATGGGAATTACCAGTCCTCTGAAGTTTTTGGATTGAGGTGTACACACCTTGAGTGATATGTAAGAGTCTATCGAGTGATATATGAATGAGTGTATTGTTGTGTTTATTCTGTTGTGTTTTGATGCAAATCTCACCAGATTGGGTCTGCTTAATTGTTGGGTTAGAGGTCTAACTTCCTGATCCTGTGACTCTGAGGAGTAATCGACAGGGTGATAAGGAGAGTATATTGGAAAGTGGTATTAAGAATAATAGGTAAAAAATAATTTGTCATATCGTCAATGCATATATGGATTTCTTAGATTAGAAATGAACAACTAAACTGTTATGTTCTGTC